ATGCCTAGCACTGACGGCGTCTCCTATATGTAATCTCTCCGTGCAGGGCTAAAAAGAGAAGACCCAGGTTTCCTTTTCAAGGAATAAATGATTTTAAGTATGTGGCATCATAATCTGGAGCATAATCTTGTTTTCGGTCCTTGGAGAATCATAAGAAAGGCTTTGGAATGATATAGGAAGAATATTTGTTAAATGTGAATGTTGGTGGAATGAGGTATTGGCGCTTGGAACAGTGTAGAACCAAAAGTATGTTTTGAAAATTTGGATGTATATCAGTTTTCAAAAATTAACATATGGGCTGGGGGTTTAGCTCAGTGGCATAAGCGCCTGCCTGGCAAGTGCAAGGTCGTGAGTTTAATCCCTGGTACTGCAAAAAAAAAAAAATTAACATATTAATATTACAGGAGTATTTAAAATAATTGTAAGATGAACTCTCTTGTAAAGGAAAGAATAAATAATACTTTGGCAAAAATATTTATATTCATGTATAATTTACATGTGCAGATTTTCATATATTTGATTTACTTAAAACAAGGCAAAAGAAGAGAGTAGGTTGATTTTAGCTGTTTTTTTTTTTAAACAAAGGGCAATGCCTATACATATATTTTGGTTTATACTGTTTACTTAGGATGAGTGATATCTGCACATAAAGTTCTATGAATACCTGTTGAATGAATGTTCCAGGTAATTTACATTGTTGGGGAATTACATTGTTAGGGGTCTACGTGGCCTATATTCTGGTCTAAAACTTCACTGTCCTGATATACAGAACATCTGTTTATGTCAGTGAGGTAGGATGTAAGAAATAAGAAAAACATAAAGAATTATGGAATTAAAAGTGTACACTAAATTTTGAAACACCATCAAGTCATATATTTAAAATGGACTACCTAAGATAAAGAATGCCAATTTAAGCTCTTGACAGAATTCAAATGGAAAGTTTTATGAGGGAGGGGTAAAGCTTTAGAGAGACCATAAGGTTTCATCTCGCCAGTGAACAGGGAATAGATTAATTCAGTTTGGCCACCTGGGGCCCATTTAGTGCACTAGAGCAGTAATTTGCTAAATGGGTCCCTCATAGTAAAAAAGAATGAGTAAACAGTGAGCAATTTAGGCATGGTAAACCACTAGTAGCTGAAGGGATATAAAAATGTGGAACTATAATTAGATCCCTTGTTCATAATGCACTAACTAAATGTATTACATTGTATATTGCATCTTTCTGAGTTTATTTCTAGACACAGCTGAGCCCTGAACAATTCAGATTGAAACCATCCCAACTATCAATTCATGCTGCTATTAAAATTCCAACTGCTTATACTAGAAAAAAAATTCCAAAGATGGTTTCTTTTATCTTAGATCTAAGAATGCAAAGAGGATTAACCTAGATGCAGAAAACAGAACACACAGTAATAGATCACCTAACAGAAAGTAAACTGTGGCAGCAAATTGAAATTTATGTTCTGTTTCTCTAAATTTAGCTATGAAAATATTTTAACAAGTTGGCATCGGTGTCTAGAACTTTTACATCTGATGTTTCTTTTCAGGATTATCTTTTCACATTTGAAGATGTGATTCTTTGAAAAATGTAGCTTTTTCAGAAATGTGGTGCTGTATTAGGTTGCATGTTTAAAACATTTTGGGAGTGGTTTACATGGTTTTAGGATATTGGCATTTTCTCTACTCTGCTTTTTAAGTGGGAGAAGATGCTATTTATGGTTAGCTGAAAAAATTCTATCTTTTGTCAAAACCTTTTCTTATTCAGAGAAAGTATATAGCGTGGGTTTGCACAGATGGTCTGGATGATATTCCCTGATACTAGCAAGCTCTGAGTACAAGTTTAATTGCTTTTTATCAATTCATTTCAATTACAAGGTTCTGGTTGATATGACATTAAGAGGACTCTCTTTAGAGTTTATGTTTCTGTCTCTGCCTCTTTCTCTCTCTCTCCTTTCAACCCCTAAATTTAGTTAGCTTTATTAAGGATCACATTCTGGACCTCTGTCCTGCTGTTCCCTCCACTCTGATTTTTATTATGCTGAATGTAACAGAATATGCCATCTTTTGCATTATAGACTCTAAGCATGAAATCCGGCAAAACTGTATGCTTTAATCCCTAGCCCTGTTTTTTGGTAAGATTTGAAATATATTCCTTTTTTCTTTTATGGAGATAATTTATCTCTATTAGCCACCTTGCTTCAACCAATTTGGCTAGTTATCCCTGAAACCAAATTTCTCTCTTCCAGGAGACAGCATACACTGTCCCTCTAACCCCTGTCTACTCTGGTACTTTGGGCACTAAATTTTCTAAGCAATGTCTTTCCTTCAAAAATTTTCACCTTCAGAGAATATGTTTTGATTATAAGTACCCTTCAAAGAATAAGCAAAATTCTTAGAGAATACAAAGCAAGACAGTGGTAGGAGTATAAGGCTAGATGACAGGAAATCAGAGGTAGATTAAATACATTACTATGATTTTTTAGAGGATGTTAATGGATATTTAGCCAGTGATGACAGAATTTTTTATTACAAAAAACTTACCTAGAGCTTGTTACATTAGCTAAAGAATATGATTCTAGAAAATAGATATATGGAAGTTAATACACATTTCTTAATACAGAAAAAATTAAAGAGGCTTTGTAGGAAATCCTGGGATGCAATATGGGCTACTTTTATATTTCAATGTCTTCCCTATTTTTTCTTTTGGCATTCAAAAAAGTTTTTATTTTTTCTGTCACAATGTTTAAGGCTTTGTGGAACTACTGAATATACAGAGGTATAAAAATTCCATGTTTTAGTACTAAAATTTAACATACTTTAATCTTTATTAAAGTATGTCTAAATTAAAATATTCTTTTCACTTCTGGAACTAATAATGTTAAGGGCTGTTCAAGACTACTTAAGGATTACTGCAGTTGAAATTTATCCTCAATATCACTTCTGCTCTCCTCCATCTCTCATTTATCCTTATACAAGCCCTCATTTTCTTTCACTGTAGAAAATTGCATTGGAAGCTTTTCTCTATTCCTAGAGACTAGTTAACTGACTTCCTAGACTAGTTATGACCGGCGCAGCCCCAATGAAACAGGAGACAGGAGACGCTCTTGTAGACGACAGTTAACTGCTGGTTTTTTTACGTGGGCTCTGGCTTATAAATTTGGCCGTAACCAATCACAGGCTGCCACGAGGAAGCAGGGCGGGAATGGGACACAGGCTCTGGCTAATATATCCAGCTGTGGCCAATCAGGAGTTGCCACAGAGTATGGAGTGAGCAAGAAGTGCACACCAGGTGGCTAATTTAAAGAGGGACGTAGCGCATTGGAAGCTGGCGTGGTCCTTAGTCCCGGGTGGGGTATGGTATGTTGAGGCCTGCGCCCAACAAGTTAATTCTCTTTATGTCCATTTCTTTCAGTACTTCCATCTCACTTGTTGAGTTGTACTGTCTAATCTATAAACTCTATGAAGGCAGAAACAGTGTCTTATTCAATTGCTATAGCGCAAGGACTGTTATATATTTCTATTATTGTTTAAATTAACCGACTTGAATACATAGCTCTGTTGTGGGAATTTGTAATCTTTCTAATACTTAGCATTGTGGTTGAATTTAAATGGAATAAAAATTGGTTTCACAAAGCTATGGGGTAAGTCTTTCAAAGAAAAATATGGGAAATCATTTTCAAGAATTTCAACTGTCAGTGAAAAATACTGGTTTGGTACTCGTGGTTTTTTCATTTATCTTCGATGTTGTCTGGTTAAACTAAATACAACCTTCCTTGCTACAAGTTCCAATTTGCTGCTTCTCTTTCCTGGCCCTCAAGTTAAGAAGTTAAAGCAGGTCTTGGATATAGTATGCATGCAACACATGTGAAGACACACATTTATGAAGCAATCAAGAAGAGTGGTCTTGAATTAAAAATGTTGATTGAATAATTCTTAGTAAACTGCTCTACTCCAGCCAAATGACATTGTTTCAACTGACAAAAAAGTGAAACAAGAAAGCAACTTTTTCAGACCACAGTTAAACATTGTGGCAGAAAAACAACAACAAAACAAAACCTTTTTTGAATGCTGAAAGAAAAAACTAGCTAAGACACTAAAATATAGAAGTAGCCCATATTGTGTCCCAGGATGTCTCATGCTTTCTGCATCATTAAGCTACTTCAAATTTCAAGAACAGTGGGAAACAATGAAACCCCGATCCATTTGCTGTTTTGTCGTCACTGGAGAGGGAGAGAGTGGGTTGAGCTATTTCCACCGAGTACACTTATCAATCGTCTAAGGTAGAATTCCAGACAGCGCCTGTATTCCGGGCGTTAAAGTAAGAAGAAAAAAAGTCAGGTGAACCCACAGATGGTCACTGGTCTTTCGAAGCTAAGAGTATTTGTATCTCATACAATGGGCGGAGGTGAGGAACCAGGACTTCCGTACTGTTTAAACTCCCTGAAAGCCTTCACTTTCAATTAGTACGGAAAATAAAAGTCATCTGGCCAGCGGGAGTGGCCAAGCCAAACAAGGTTCAAGTTTATGAAGAACCTACCCCAGCACAGAGCTGAACAGCAGAGGGCACAACATTCCCTGGCCACTGCACAGCGGCGGGCGGAACCGAGGAACAGAACCTCAGGATCGCTGGGGCTTGTAGTCCATCATCGTTCTCTCGGACATGCCCACCCACTGAAAAGCACCACAACTCCCAGGGTGCATCGCGCACCCAGCTCTCCACCGCCCTTCCCGAGCCTGGTCAGGAATCTCCCGGGAAACAGTCCCGCCCCGCCCCCGTACGCACGCGTCACGTTTGTTTACCCTGAGGCCCCACCTCCCACCGCCTTCCGGCTCTTCCCGCTCCGCCCTGGAATGCTGTCCAGCTAGCTATGCATATTCATGAGGCCCGCGTGGAGCTCCCCCCTCCGCCTCCCGCCTTCCCACTCCCCGCGCGTGATTAATATTCAATGAGGCGGGATTCGCGGCTGGCTCGCTGAGGTGAGGCGGGGGGAGCGGGCGGGGCCTGCCGCTGGGGAGCCCGCGACCCGGGCTGGGTGTGTGTGTGTGGGGGGGCGGTGGCCGCAAGGCGGGCGCGCAGGATGGGACACCGAGACACCGACGGAATGCTCCGAATTGCCACATAATCCCTTGGAACGGCCGCGCCGAACGCCATTGGCTTCTTCCTTCGCGGCGCGCCGCCGCCGCCGCCGCCCCCTCCCACCTTCGCCTTACCTCCTCCCTCGGCTCGTGGCCTCCGGAGCTGGGGGGGAACGTGAAGCCCCGCTGCAATGGAGCCCGCCGCGGCCCCGGCGCAGCGACTCCCTGACCCAGGCTCCGGGGAGGACCGAGCTCCGGCGGCGGGGGCGGCCGGGGGCGGCCGGAGCCCGGAGCCCGCGCTGACCCCGGCGGCTGTGATCGGCGGGAGCGGCGGGGCGCGGGAAGAGGCCCCTAGCGAGGCGCCGCCGGGGCCGCTGACCGGCAGGGCTGGGGGCACTGGCCGCAGGAGGCGGCGCGGGGCTCCGCAGCCCACGGCCGGCGCGGCTGCCCCGGTGTCCGCGGCCGGCAGCGCCGCCAACTCCCTCCTGCTCAGGAGAGGGCGGCTGAAGAGGAATTTGTCCGCGGCCGCTGCCTCCTCGTCGTCCTCCGGCGCTGCCTGCCTCCCCGCCTCCTGCTCGGCCTCGGCGTCACTCTGCACCCGCAGCCTGGACAGGAAGACGTTACTCGTGAAGCACCGGCAGCTGCTGCAGCTGCAGCCGTCGGACCGGGACTGGGTGAGAAGCCAGCTCCAGCGGGGCTGCGTGCACGTCTTCGACCGCCACATGGCCTCAACTTACCTGCGCCCGGTGCTCTGCACGCTGGACACCACGGCAGGCGAAGTGGCTGCCCACCTCTTGCAGCTGGGCCACAAAGGCGGCGGCGTGGTCAAGGTGCTGAGCCAGGATTCCGGACCTTCCGTCGCCAGGCCCCGGCTCGAGCCCCCCGAGTGCCGAGACTCGGGTGTCGTCAGGGGACCCCCGCGTGCGCCCCCAGCTGACCTGCAGCTGCCTGCCGGCGGCCCCCGGACCAGCCCCGCGCCCTTGGACGCCAGCCCCGGCGAGCCGCGTCCCGGAGGACTTACCTCCCCGGCCGGCGCCCCGCGGCGTCTCGATGGTGCAGCCTCCGACACCGAGAGCTTCAGCCTGAGCCCCAGCGCCGAGAGCGTGTCGGACCGGCTGGACCCGTACAGCAGCGGCGGCGGTTCTTCGTCGGAGGAGGAGTTCGAGGCCGACCCCAGCCAGTCCCACCGCACCCTCCAGCCCCGGCCGCTCTCCCCGACGGCCTCCCTCCATCGACTGCCGCAGAAAACCTCAGTGGGTGTTGACAGCCAGGACGGGGCGACCCGCGAGGGGCCGCTGGAGGAGCAGGTGGCGGCAGCCCCGGTGGGCCTCCCGTGCATGCCCCAGAGGAGCAGAGCCCCCTTGGAGAACGGACCTCTGCCTCCCACCCTATACGTGCAGCTCCACGGAGAGACCACCCGGCGCCTGGAGGCAGACGAGAAGCCACTACAGATCCAAAATGACTACCTCTTCCAGCTAGGATTTGGGGAGTTGTGGAGGGTGCAAGAAGAAGGCATGGACTCAGAGATTGGCTGCCTCATCCGCTTCTATGCAGGTAAGAAAGCCATGTGCACGTTGACATGTGGGTTCCAACGCTGGCAGGGACAGAAAAATGATTCACACGTCCAAGTCGTGAATAAATGCGTTTCCCGGTGCCTTTAATTATTCTTTTTAGCTTTCACATACAATCTGTGTAAGTACTGTACCAAATAGAGCAATCTGTAAGTCTGCGAGTTTCAGTCCATCTAGAGGGCTCAGGGTTGGGGAACGAGGTAGAAGGGGGACTGAATCACTAGGAAGTACAGGAAGCAGGTACATATTCCTGAAAAAGCACATTTAGCCCCGGATGAGCTTTCTTAGGGGCTCTGCTCTGGCTTGGGCTTGTTCAGTTGGGGCACTTTGGTATTTCAGGTAAACTATCACGTGCTCATAATATTAAGAGAGAAAAATGACCAACACAAATGCTCTCTCTTCATGTGCCAGTCCGCAGTTCACTTCCCAGACTGTAAGTACAGTCTGTGCCACCATAAGCTTGTGCCTTGTCAGTTATGCCCTTGTTTGTGCTGCTTTGCCAACTTAACCAGGGCATCCTCATTAGGCACTGGACAAAGAAGGTTCTTGCCTTTAGTGATATTTTTCTCACCACTTTTTTGCTTTGTTTCAGTTTCTTCTGTAAGTTTGAGTCTTAAATCAGAAATGAGTTAGTTTTTCTTAGAGCTGACACTTACTGAATTGTAGGATTTGCAGTAGGGTACACAGTGAGAATTTAAGTGTTTACTTTCTTCATATGTGACCCAGAGTCCTCTTCAGTCTCAGTACCAGATAAAGTTCTTGACTAGGAGTGACTAATGTAATGTTTCTCTTTTGGCTAAAGACTTGGCTGGCACTACTTTAGGTTGATAGGTACTGGCTACTGTATTTGAGCTTTGTAACTTTGTATCCTTGTCCTCTTCTGGCTTGAGGAATTACATTCTTAGTGACAAGAAATTTTCTTTAAGTTCCCAGAGGGGAATTTAGTCAGGAGAATTAAATGTTTGCAAACTTTAGATTTTAGACATTCGGTGATGGTGGAAAATCATACTAACAACTCCACTAATCTGTAGTTATTTTTTTGATTTAATATTTTGGTTTACCTTGTATTCTATCAGATTACTTACTTTGAATGAAGAACTCTTTACTCTCACACTGAAATATAGCAACTCTGGTGAAATGCTTTTCTAAGTTTCATTGAAATTCTTAAGTGGATTTCTGTTCCACAAAGAATTTTTGGTCCACAAAGAAAACCTCTGAACCAGAAAATAGATGATTTTTTTTTTCTTTAATGTGTTGGAACAACTGCTATATCCTTTGTCCAATGGCTTATATAATTTCCAAAATGCTATTTTATTACAGAAATACGACATTTACACTTGGGAGGAGGATATTTATTTTGTTAGCACAAGAATGAGAAGTGCCCTTGTAACTAAAAACTAAGGACGAGGGAAATAGATTTAAAACAAGGTGTATGAAATAAAGTGTCTGAGCCTATTTTAATATGCAAGGAGTTGTGTATCCCTTATTCATGATTAGATGTGATGATCTTGATAAATATCCATGGGAAGGTTTTGGGTGTCACAGTTGTGAAATTTAAATCTTTGATTGTCTTTTCAAGAGTGTCTAAAATGTTCTAAGTGATAAGCAGTGTTTTTATTTCTCTAATTCATTTCAATATAAAAATGACAAGTTATTTTTCTGATTAAATCCTAAATTTCTGATCAAGTCACTAATCTTTTGTTTATAAGAATCAGTAATGGTCACTTTGTGAACTTACTGCCTTGTTTCTGTGTGCATGGCATAAATGCATATATGCTTCTGAATATATGCTCATAAACATAGCTAGTAAAGTGAGGGATGCTATACATAGTATCCAGTCTGTTGTTAAATATTAACTAGTATACAGGTGTTCTAGAAGCTTGTTGCAAGAGGTGTGATTTTTTATTTTAAGCTTAAAAATACCAGATGTGTCTGCGGATACTCATGTACCAGAGAACAACATTTAGCATATAATGAATCCACTTGAACTTTTGCAAAGAAGTTTTGTTATTTAGATGACCAAAAAGACCTGCCTTACTCTAAGGTGATGTCACTAGAACACTGTCAGGATTTCATATATAGTGAAGGTTTTGTACTAGCTTGAAGCGATTCTTATAAATTAACAGTGTGTGCCAGTGAATACGTGACACCCAAAAGGAGAGTGTTGTGTTTTGGTAGTTAATTCTTTGCCTAGGAAGAGAGTAATTAATATTTCTCTCTCTGTGTGTGTGTGTGTGTGTGTGTGTGTGTGTGTGTGTGTGTGTTTTAGATGACACCTTTTAAGAGTGCTGGAATATTCTTTACCTTATTTGTTTTTATGATTTTTATATAACTGAGTTTTAAATTTATTGCTGCATGTCTTTCTTTGTTTGTGAATGGAGCTAAAGATCACAAGGAAGTTGCCTTCGAGGTCTTTTGAATATTTTCGTATATTTAAATTGAGCTCATTATTTACTATCTGGTTTATCTAGTATTCTACTTTTTTAAAGACACTTGTGTCCAGCATAGAGCTTTAATTTTCTCTAGGGTCATCTTTCAGTTACATTTTAGTATTTATAACATGACTCAAGTTATTTTTAAAGGCTTTGAAAGCTGTTTGTGGTTGCTTTAAATAGTTAAATGTTTATTTGAGTAAAAGAAAATCAAAGTCTGTAATGAAGATGAAGTGCTATCTAATTACAGTTGTTAATGGAAACCGAGGTTTCAAAATTGTTATTGTGCCTCTCATGCAACCATTCTCTTAGCTGTTTTAAAATATGAGAAAATTTAAATTTTTTTTTGAAGAAGTTATTCGTCTGAAGTATGCTAATTATGTTAACATAAATTTTTCTTTTAAAATAAGATATCTTAAATTTTGCCTGAAAGAATAATATTAGTTTAAAAAAAATTCAAGAAGTTAGATTGCCTGACACAAATTATGGACTCCTAATCATGAATGAGCTTGTGTTTTTTGGTCTCTGGGAGGTCTGTGTTATGAACAAGAGCAATGTTAAATTACATTTTTTGACATTTCTACTACCTCTACTACAGGTCTAGTGTAGCCTGGCTGTTTCAGTTCAAATAATGTAATAATGAGAGTGTTGACAGTGAAGAGCACACAAACACTGTACGCGGTGATCCTTGGACAAGATGTTTTTATATGGAACTCCTTAGTATTGCTTGGGAGACAATCTTCTTGCCACTCTCATGTATCTTGTCTGTTGTCCTTCTGGGAATGATCAATCCTTAGGAAACCGAGAAGGAGTGGCTCAGCATTAAGCTATAAAATTGGTGAGCAGGTTCTTATTACTATAATTACAGCAGTATTGAGTAACCTGGTTTGAACACATGACACCAGTGTGTGCTTGAACAAGCCTTTTAAATACAAAGAGTTTACTAAACTTTAGTTGTTGCTTTTATGTTTTCTTTTTTATAGTTTTATCTTATATTTTTTGATATAAAGTACATGCTTTTTTGTAATTATGATTTGTTAACATCTATGAATGCTTAAATTTTCAATCTTAGAGGCTTCACATAAATTATCTCATTTGTCCTGTCAAAAATATCATTAGACAGGAGAAACTGTTGTATAGAGAGATTTGATGTTTGCTGGTTTTGTAGTTTTTTCAATCCTTGGTAGTGCCAAGAATAGAGCTAGAATCTTCTGTTTTGCAATTCATATATAACACTTTCCATGAATCACTGGTGAATTTCATTTACACTTGAATTTTTCATCTGATTGGAAGCATTAAAAAAATATACTATGTTTGTTGATAATGAAGTGATACGTCCTGAGTGGTGTTTCTTTTTTTTTTTTTTCTTTCTTAAAGGTTTCAGTTTGCTTTTTGATGGGGTAGGATGACATTCTTCAGTGCTCTAGTTCAGCTACAGTTTTTGTTTTATTTTTGTCTTTTTGAGATAGGGTTTCACTATGCAGTGCAGACTGGCCTTGAACTCACTTTGTAGACCAGGCTGGCCTCAAGCTTGCAGGGATCCTCCTGCCATAGCCACCTGGGCTGGGTGCTGGGATTACAGGTTATGTGCCACCATGCCCTCCCAGCCTCTGAGTGGTTTTGCCTGTAAAATGTGGATCATTCTATTTTTATCATGCTACTTTTAAAATTTACGAAACCAAGACTGGCAAATAGTAGGTAAAATGGAAAATAGTAATGTTTCTAAATATTTTAGTTGCAAATAGTGGTATTACATTTAAATTGAAATGAAATAAAGTTTAAATAATTTTTTTTTTCATGCAGGGGATTGAATCCAGGGCTTCACACATACTAGGCAAGTGCTTTACCACTGAGCCACACCCCTACTCCTACACAATTCTTTATTCTCTGTTCATTTGTCTTATTTGTTAAATTGTACATTTTCATTGAGGAGTAAGAAATAAATACTTCACCTGAAAAGTGGGTAACTTTGAGAGTGGGAGTGTGATTATTTGATGCCTTTAAAATACTGAAAATACCAATCATTAAAGATCATATTTTAAAAAAATCATTTATCTTTTAAGATCAAATTACATGTGCATTGATGTTAAATAGTGCTTTATTGGTATTACCATGCTCTTGTATTTCATGTGTTTGTAATTCATGTGTTATCATACAATGGAGTAAGTTCTTCACCTTCATTTTCATAATACCTATTCTTAAAATGGTATTTTGTACTCATTAAAATACTGATAGTAAGAGGAGATGGGTGTAAATGATTTTGTGTAAAGATCCAGGTTAAAGGTTATATCTTTTTCTTGCTGTAAGATTGTCACATTGTGGGTGGGTGTGAAACTCAGTGGTTGAGCCCATGCTTAACCTGGAAAAAAAAAAGAAAAAGATTGTTAAATTGATTATCTAAACAATTAGTTATCCAGATGATTATTTTTTCGTGTAAGATATATTTGTTGTTTCTCGTTCTTTCTTCTTTTAAGCTTGAATTTAGCTTTAGTAATACAACATTCACTGACATTGTATATGACTAACCATACAATACTTGGCATTTTCTTTT